ATCCAGGTTGCTGCATATATCAATAGTTTATCTTTTTTTATTACTGAGTAGCATTACACGGTGTGGATGTGCCACTGTTTGTTTAACCATTCACTCATTGAAAGATATATGGGTTGCTTCTAGTGGTTGGCAATTAAGAATAAAGCTGCTATGAACTCTACCATGCAGGTTTTTGTGTAAATTTAAGTTTCCATTTCTCTGGAACAAATGTCCAATGGTACAATTAATTGCTAGATTGTATAGGATTTGAGCCATTCTTGACCCTAGTTTCAGAGACAGCCAGACTTCCTGCCACAAAGCTGGCAAGATATTTGCTGCTCCTGTTTCTTGATCTGGCATCTATGAACTTTAAAAGAGGGACGGGGAGAATTTGGTCTCTAATAATGTTGGCCATCAGATATCCAGATGCCTTTCATGTTTTTAGTCATGCGTTTTTTCCCAGGACAAGTGTTCTAAAAAGCAGGAATTCACAGCTTGTATCTAAGACACAAAATGCAGAAAAACCTGTTTGCTTAGTGTACAATTATTGCTGCTAACTGCGTGCCTTTCTAGTTCAGCTCTTGCCTAGGGGACAATTCATCAGTTAAGTTTAATTTTTATTTTTCTCCTTTGTCCAATGGGGGGAAAAAGCTTCATTCCCCACTCCTCCTCTAGTAAATGCTTTCTTGCATGTTATGCACTTCCAGTAGCTTTTGCATAAAAATGGCCTGTCTTGGCTCATGCTGCAGACTTTCCTAAAATCTTTTAGACTTTCACGAAAAACAAACAAGCAGCATCTGGCCTCAGTGTGCCCCAAACCTCTTGCTAAGCAGCCCTAAGGCTGGCATTAGCAGCAGCTGGCCTCAGTTGACAGCTTAGCCCCTCCCAGGCATCTGCAAGCCCAGCACAAGCTGCAACCATCTGCAGATCTCTTTCTAGCCCATACCAGGTGACACCAGGCAGGGCACATACAATAGCTGATCTTGGCCTGCACCAGAGCCCCTAACAAGAGGCCTCATAAGCAACACACCGCTGGCCAGCTTCAGACCTCACCACAGCACTCCCTAAACACCTCTACAAGTGACACACCCAAACGGTGGACTTGGCAGGAACCAGAAACCTGATAAAGCGACTCCTGCTCCGTAGGGTCAGTCCCTGCACATGAGCTGCTCCGCTGTAGTCAGAGCCAGTCCTTAAAACCAATCAGCCTGAGGTTCAATCCTTCCCACTAACATACAAACACCATTCCAGGTTCAACTATGACAGGAGGGCACACATAGCTCACACAAGGGACACACCTGGAGCACCTGGCTCAGGTGACTAGGGAGACAGCACTACTCAGCCCCACAAGACACCTACTACATAAGACCACTCTACCAAGACCCAGAGATGCAGCAGCTCTATATAGAAACAGAGGGAGGCAGCCAAAATGAAGAGACAAAGAAACTCCAGAAACAGAACTAAACAAAATAGAGACAAGCAATCTACCAGATGCAGAGTTCAAAATATGGTTATAAGGATGCTCAATGAACTTAGGGGAAGAGCAGATAAACTCAGAACTTCAACAAAGAGATAGGAAACATAAAAATGGAGATAGAACACATAAAAAAAGTCAGGAATGAAAAATACTGTATTTTGTCATGTATATTTTTGCCCAAATTTTTTAGGGTAAAATACGGATGTGCATTATACATGGGTAGTATATGAAATGCGTTGTATCTGTTCTTGTGTTTTGTAACTATTTGTTACATAAAATTTCTTGTACCATAATATGTTCAAAAATAAATGCTAAAATTCCCTTGTAATACAAAACATAAGTATCTAAATACAAATGAATAAAAAGCTGAATTAAAAAATTAAAACAAAAGATTTTTTTTCCTGAAAGTTTTGGGCCAAAAAAGTGGATGTGCATTCTACACAGCTGAAATATGGTGCACTAGAGGAACTCAACAGAAGATTAGATGATGCACAGGAACACCCAATTAGAAGACCAAAAAGAAAAAAAGAATCTAAAAAAGTGAGGATAGCCCTGGCTGCTGTGGCTCAGTGGATTGAGTGCTGGCCTGCGAATCAAAAGGTTGTAGGTTCGATTCCCGGTCAGGGCCTATGCCTGGGTTGCAGGCCAGGTCCCCAGTAGGGGGCGCATAAGAGGCAACAGCACATTGATGTTTCTCTCCCTCTTTCTCCCTCCCTTCCCCTCTCTCTACTAATAAATAAAAAATAAAAAGTAACTCTTTAAAAAAATGAGGATAGTTTAAGGGGCCCCTGAGACAACATCAAGTGTACCTTAATTTGCTTCATAGGGGTATCAGAAAGAAAAGAGAGAGGGCAAGAAATTAAAAACCTATTTGAAGAAATAATGACTGAAAACTTCCTCAACCTGGTGAAGGAAATAAATAAGTCCAGGAACCACAGAGTCCCAAACACGATGAACCCAAAGAGGTCCACACCAAGACACATCATAATTAAAATATAAAAAGGTTAAAGACAAAGAGAATCTTGAAAAGAGCAAGAGAAAAGCAGTCAGTTACCTACAAAGGAGTTCCCGCAAGACTACCAGCTTATTTCTCCAAAGATACTTCAGCCCTGGCTGGTGTGGCTCAGTGAATTGAGTGCCAGTCTGCGAAGTGAAAGGTCGCAGGTTTGATTCCCAGTCAGAGCACACATGTGGGTTGCAGGCCAGGTCCCGGTTGGGGACATGTGAGAGGCAACCCATTGATGTTTCTCTCACACACTGATGTTTCTGTCCATCTCTTTCTCTCTCCCTTCCCCTCTCTCTAAAAGTAAATAAATAAAATATTTTAAAAATTTAAAAAAAGAAATTTTGCAGGCTAGAAGGGACTGGTATAAAATATTCAAATTTGCTGAAAAGCAAGGTCCTAAAACCAAGATTACTCTACCAGCAAAGCCATTATTTTGAATCGAAGGACAGATATAAAGTTTCCCAGACAAGAAAAAGCTCAAGGAGTTAGTTCGTCACCACCAAACCAGTATTGCAAGAATTACTAAATGGTCTTCTTTAAGAAGAAAAACAGGATAAAAAAATAAGAATACTAAAACAGCAATAAATACACACCTATCAACAATTACTTTACATTTAAATGTATTAAATCAATCAAAACACGTAAGATGGCGAATGGATAAAAAACAAGATTCATACATATGCTGCCTACAAAAGACTCACTTCAGATTGAAAGACACACACAGACTGAAAAAAAGTAGAGGGATAAAAAAAAGGTATTTTATGCAAATAGAAACAAACAAAGCTGGGGTAGCAATACTTATATCAGACAAAGCACACTGTAAAACAAAGGCTATAACAAGAGACAAAGAAGGACCCAAATATTCTATGTCTGGGTATTTATCTGAAGAAACTCAAAACACTAAATTGAAAAGACATATGCATCTATATGTTCATTGCAGGATTATTTACAATAGCAAAGATATAGAAGCAACCCAAGTGTTCATTAATAAGTGAATGAATAAACAAGAAGGGACATATACAATGGATTATTACTCAGCCATAAAAAAAAATGAGCCCTGACTGGTGTGGCTCAGTTGGTTGAACATCATTCTGCAAAGCAAAAGATTACTGGATCGACTCCCAGTCAGGGCACATGCATGGGTTGTGTGTCTGGTCCCCAGTTGGTGATGTGCGAGAGACAACCAATCGAAGTGTCTCTTACACATCAATGTTTCTCTCCCTCTCTTTCTCCCTCCCTTCCCCTCTCTAAAAATAAATAAGTAGAACCTTAAAAAAAATAAAATCTTGCCATTTGCAACAACATGGATGGACCTAGAGGGTATTATGTTGACTGAAATAAGTCAGACAAAGAAAGACAAGTAGCATATAATTTCACATATATGTGGGATATAAAGAACAAAATAAATGAACAAAACAGAAACTCTTTGATACAGAAAACATTTTGATGGTTGCCAGATGGCAATAGGGTTGGGGAGCTGGGTGAAAAAGTGGAAGGGATTAAGAAGTCCAAATTAGTAGTTACAAAAATCAGGGGGATATGGGGTATAGTAGAGGGAATATAGTTAACAATGTTGTAATGGCTATGTTTGGTGTCACCAAAGTGCTGGACTTGTCTTAGTGATCACTTTGTAAGTTATGTGGATGTCTGATCACTGTGTTGTACACCTGAAGCCAATATAGTATGTTGACTGTTATTAGAAAATAAAAAAAAATTAAAGAAACTAGCACAAATCATTTTCTATAAGACATGGCCTAAAGATTATACACCCCCCCAAAAAAAACTGAAGTATTAAATAACTTCAAATATCTTTTAAAAGTTAATCACAGATCGCCCTAGCTGGTGTGGCTCAGTGGACTGACCGCTGGCCTGCGAACCAAACTGTTGGCAGTTCGATTCCCAGTGTAGGGCAAGTGCCCGGGTTGCCGGCCTGGTACCCAGCATGGGGCATGTGAGAGGAAACCACATATTGTTGTTTATCTCTCTCTTGCTATGACCCGTACAGAGTGGTCCCTGAGTAGAAGCAATGGGAGATTGAGAAAGGACGACACAACACAAGACAGTTTAGAGAAAAGCAGGGGCCAGGTGGGACATTGTCCTCTGATGGAGAGACAATGACAATGACCATGGTCTCCACATTTATTTCATAGGGGTTGGTTAGATAAAGCTCAAGGGAGTTTTGCAGACTTAGGGGAACGCTGTGTGCAAGGATTGTTCCGTTCCCAGGCTATCTACATCATAAAGCTTTCTTCTGCAAAGGTTGCGGTCGGTCGTCTACAGCAGAAGCTTGTGGGTACCTACTCCCTTCTCAACCCCCGCCCCCTCTGGGCTTGGGCTGCCTTCAGCTGCCAGCTTGCTCTGCCTTGAAGGTACAAGCGGTCGAGCGTGGCCTTGCCAAGCGCTTAACCTGGCTTTTGACGTCAGCCTTCACCATCCCCCACACTCTCTTTCTCCCTCTCTTCCCCTTTCTAAAAATAAATAAATAAAATCCTAAAAAAATAAATAAAAAAAAAGTTAATCAGAGATCTAGACAGTCATAAGAACCAAAAGTAATTTATTTACAAAATTTCTTACTTAACCAATGGAGAGAACCAAGATAAAATATACCAAGAAACAATCAACTATGACTCCACTCATAGTCTTTAAGCCAGTTGATACAAGAGAACAACCAGAGCAGTTCCTGATTACTAGGCTACAAAAAAAAGTCCTTCTGCATGTCCTTCAAATGAACAAGGACATACATTTAACCAGTAGCATCACGGTACGTGTAGACTCAGTTGAGTCACAGTTTCTAGGATGCTATTCCCTCTCTACCTTACATAGATGTTTCACCACTTTTGTTGATTCCTTTGTTGGCTTCTTTCTCTTCTTCCCCATTGTTGGTTTTCTCTTGTTCTCCTCTGTTGTCTCCTTTGTCTTCTTCTTTGTCCTGAACACCTGTATAAACTGCTTTGTTATGTCCTTCCCGGTTACGAGCAATTTCAATGGCCAAAAATTGTATCCTGGGGGCTGGAAAGTTAATATAATTGATTATTGTCTTAGTAACAATTTCTCTAAACCGACTGGAAATCTAATGACAAAAAGTATAGTCATTAAGTTTCAGAGATGTGAAATGCTAATCCTATACCAAATAAGGTGAAAGTACTTAACTATCATCTCAGTTACTCAGGTATTAGTAACATGATCTTTAAAGATATAATAAATAAGATGACCCCCAAACTATCCATGTAAACCATTCATCAGTAAAACTAGATCCCTCAATCACCTGGCAGTGAAACAATTCCAGGGGCAAGAAACTCACCAAAGATGGTGTTTTCCTCAGTGTAGCCTTGAGAACAATCCAGTCGCAGCAAAGTACCATAGTTAAAGTCTTCTATAACCCCATCAAATTTCAAACAGAATGGTCTCCACTTCTATAAAGGCAAAAAAAAAAGGTGCCTTATCTTACCAATGCAGGCCCAAAGAGGGGCTTCCACTTTCTCAGTAAGGCAAATAACCATAGTGAAAGAGACTAGGTTTGAACTGACTGCTTGTTTCACTAGCAACAAGTTTCTGCACTACCTACTGTGTCTTTAGTATTTTCCATCATGAACAATATTTTTACCTGATAAAAATACTTAAATCCTTGACTACAGAATCAAAATTTGATTTTTTAAATGGAGTCTTTGTTTTGTTTTTAGTAATTGGCTAGCTCAGCCCCAAATGATAATTCATCCCCATTGAAGTACAAATGACACAAAGAAAGCAGGAATTTTGCCCAAAGTCACGAAGTTAAATTTTTAGAAAGAAATCCATTTAGTAAAGGTAACTTTCCAAAGATCACCTGACATCCTGCTAAGAGTTAAAAGTTTACATTCTTCATAAGTCAAGGGTCTACTCTCAGGGAAATATTTTCCCAATTATAAGAGTTGTAGCCCTGTCCCGTAATTCAGTTGGTTAGAGCATTGTCCCAATATGCCAAGGCTGTGGGTTCAATCCCCAGTCAGGGCACATACAAGAAGCAACCAATGAATGCATAAATAAGTGGAACAACAAATTGATGTTTCTTTTTCTTTCTCTCTCTGTACCCGCCTCTTGTTCCCTCTCTTTCTCTAAAATCAATAAATAAAAAAATTGAAGAGTTTTAGTGCTCTGTAAAAATACAAGCTAATCAAGTAAACAATGCAAAACAAATTTTTCAATGATCTTTGGCATGGTCTGTGATGATGTCAACTTAAATCCAGAGAATCCAAACACCTTCCTGTACCCTATTTGTCAATCTTCCATCCAAGTGTTCTGGTTCAACTACTTACATAAATAAATTTATTCTTCCTCCCTTGAAAGGCTGGGTGGTTAATAATGAAATGTCCAAGTCAAGAAGGTGGAAAAAATAAATTCAATGAACATTAAAAAATCCAAAAACAAGAAAAAGTCATTTCATAACTTATTTATTAGTTGACGACAACTACATAAGACCACTGGTTCTTTATATATTTTCCTTAAAAGCCCCTCAAAATTTAAATGTATAAAAATGTATTCACCATTAATAACTGTTGATCAGATGCTAGGCAATATCTGAGAGAGAATTCTTACCTCTTTAGCTGATGCTGACTTGAGTTCTTCTGGGTCCAATACATCTATCCTGAGTTTCTCAAAATTTTTCCGAAATTCAGAATAGATTTGGTCATCCACTTTGGTGAGTTTCAGGAACTGTGGGTCAACTGATGAAATCAGCTGCCAGGTAATAAGATAACATACATATGGTAGTCTCTATTTTACTACACTTCTATTCCCTCTTCTCCGTAAAACTCTTATGGTTCTCAGGACCGAAGAGTTCATTAGGAAGTACAGAAGGTTAGGTTGTGGATGAAATTGTGACCTAGTTTTAATGGGCCATAATATAATACAGTCCATTTCACCACGTCAAACACTTTTGGCCTTGGTACCGACTGGCTATTGCCCTCTGTGGATTGTTCATTCAGTCAACGAACATTTATTAAAGTGCCTACAATTGGCCAGGCACCTTTTTGACAGTTAGCAACAGAACTCTGGGCAAAGGAGATCAACTCCTCCTCACTGTCAAAACAAAATTCACTTCCATCCCCCTGTTCTCTGGTAAGGGCTTACAGTAATATTTATCTCCAAAATGCAATTGTTTAAATTGCTGAGAATAGTGATTAGCAGAGAATCATACAGCACATGTTTAATTCTGTTTAATAACGAACACTGACAACTCACTTTGTAATAGACTTCAGCATGCTGCATTGCTCGCATGGCCCATGCCATCTCAATATCAGGCTGCAAAGGAGTAAAGAATGCCAGGTCAGAAATCTCCCAACCTGCTACTAGAGAACAAATTAAGAAAGTCTTTGGTTGTCTTGTTAATGCTGAAGAAAGCTAGCAAACTTAGTGTTACTGTCAAAGGATAAAAACTGGATTAATAGGTGTGAACAATAAAATCATTCTTTGTACTTATGACAAACAAAAAGCTACCCACACAGTCCAATAAATAGAATGAGCCACTGACTATCTTTTCCTGGAAGCTACTGAAAGTGTGAGAGACTAAATAAAACAGTAGATAAGTGGCATTCTCAAGACTGAGTTAAACCTTTGTAAAATTGAAATAAACTCACATACACAATTGAATTATTGAAACAAAATAAGATAATGGAAGTGAAATTACTCTTCACTTTTAAGAGTGTAGCAGGTCATAATTTGTGTTTATCTGATAGCTAATTCCTCACCCTATAACACTTAGAAATTAGACAGTATCATGAAGCAGGCTAGTTTATAAATATGCTTTACCAAGCATCACCATTACAATCTCTCACTCAAACTGGAGGGATCTATTTTACTGACTCCAGAACAAGCCAGTTGTATTTTACCTCCAGGCCCTTTGCCTGACTTACACTTCATGTCCTTTGCCCACCTACACTTGGAGGATCCAGTCTGAGATCCACTATCTCAGTGAAGTCTTCCTCTACTGTCTGGACTGTCCGGGTCCTAGGGGTTTATTCTTCAGCTAAACTGCTTTGTATTTTATGCCCTGATTCACTCATCTAGCATACATCACATTCTTATTTGAGCGCTACTATTGTTCTCATGTCCCTGCGTCTTGTATCTCAAGTACATCATGTGCTTTCTCCTTAAGAATCTAAACGAGACACGCCATAAGCCAGTGCAACTCTACTTCACAATAGAAACACCTGAGACCTTTACAAATACGGATTCCGGGCTCTCAGCCTCAGATATTCTGACTTAATTGATATACATTACACCCTGTACTTTAGAATCCCTTGTGATTTGAATAACACATCGGGTTATTCAAATGCTTCACAGGGGATTCTAAAATGCAGCAAAGTTTGAGAACTACTTCCATTGGCAGTAGTCCCGCGTTTGTGGCCCAAAAAGATTAGAATGAACTGAAAAGCGTGGTTTCTGGAGGACGTGGACAGGGTCTACATAACATATCACGACACGACGTTACAATTTCGTGGCAGGCCCCGCAGACATCCCAGACTAGCTAGGTGAATGGGAGCTGTCGGTGAGTCATACTCACATCGTTGCCGTAAGACTCAGCAGGGAGAGAAAGAGCATGTGCCACTGACACCACTTCCCCGGACACCTGGAAGGAAAAAGGAGGGCAGGGGGGAGTTCAAGGCTAGACTAAGCTCGACTTCCCGCTTCACCCGACCCCAGAGCAGCGTCTCACCGGCTCTTCATCTCCACTATTCGCCTCCATGGTGCGGCTAACACAGCGAGGCTCCACTTCCCGGAAATGATTTTCCGCGAGCTCTTTACGTAGTTGATTGAAATGGGAGGGCCTGTCAAGAGTAGCTTTCATCCGCCTGCGCCTGCGCGCACCCTCTCTTTCCTGGAGGAGGTAGACCCTGGCCCCTTGTCACCCGCCCTGCGCAGACTCAAAAGTGACGCGTTGTTGCTAGGCTGGGCTGCTAACGGCGTCTGAAGTGCTGAAATGCTTAGTAGTAACAGGGGTGGTCATGGGAAAAAGCTGAGTTAAAATAATGCAGCTTTCACGTCCCACTGCACCGAGTACAGGCAGAGAATCGAATTCACACTCTCCGTTGGTGAATGCGGGCGCGCGCGCGCGCGCGCGCGCACACACACACACACACACACACACACACACACACACACTAGTACACAGCTGGATTTGGGAGTAACAGAGGGGCTTTGTATGCTGAATATTAAAGAGTTAAAACTTTATCTTAAAAGCAAAGGTAGGCTACTGAATGCCTTTAAGTAAGCTAACCTCACAATCAAACTTAAGTTTTAAGAATATCACTAAAATACATTGTGGACAACAAAATTGAAGGCAAAACTGGAGTCATAAAGACAATTGAAGGCACTGGGTAACAAAAACCTAAGGAAGGCACTGGAAGTTGAGATGGATTTTGAGAATTAATAAGGGAAATTGAATCAATAGGACTTTTTGACTCATTGTGTATGGAAGATAATGAAGAATTAGGATTCCAATATTACTCCCAGGTTGCAGAATAGGATTCAGGAATGAATGTCGTTGAGCTAGAAAACTAAAGAAGAGGGATGATAAGTTTAGTTTGAGGAGGTGAGTTTGAGGAATCTATGGGACATTTGGAGAGAGTTGACTAGTGAGAGAGAGATCTGATCAGAGATATAAGAACCTGACAGCTGATACTTCAGGTTTAATTGAGCCTTCCCAAGGAAACTTCAGAACTCTAAAGACACGAAGATCCACAGGCCAAGGACAGAATTCTTTATGAATAATATAAGGCAGCAAAAAATAGTTGTCGGTGAGACATCAGCAAAGAACCAAGTAAGGGTCTGACAGAAGCTAGAGGGTAAGAGAACTTCCAGGTAGAAGTGGTGAACAGTGTCTAACACCCTGGGTTGAGTACACTAAGCCCAGAAATACTGAGGGGTCATTTACAACTTTAGCAAGAGCAGTTTTGGTGGAACAGTGAAGCCAGGTGTCAGATGACAGTGGATTGAGAAGGAAATGAGAGTTAAATGGCCATAGTATGTTTTTAAAAAATAGAAAGAGACATGAGGCCCAGATACTTTTTAAAAATTGTGGTAAAACACACATAACATAAAAATTTACTATCTTAACCATTTTAAGTATACAGTTCAATAGTGTGAAGTACCTCCACATTGCTGTGTGACAGAATCCAGAACTTTTTTGAAAACTGAAACTCTACACCCATTAAACAACTCCACACTTTTCTCTTTCCTCAGCCCCTGGCAACATCCATACTACTTTCTTTTCCTATGAATTTGACTACTTTGGATACCTCATAAAGTGATATTTGTCTTTTTGTGACTGGTTTATTTCACTTAGTATAATGTGCTCAAGGTTCATCTATGATGTTTCCATGTGACAGTATTTCCTTTCTTTTTTCCTAAGATTTTATTTATTTTTAGAGAGAGGTGAGATTGGTTGCCTCTCACACACTCCCAACTGGGGTCCTGGCCCGCAACCCAGGCATGTGCCCTGACTGGGAATCAAACTGGTGACCTTTTGGTTCACAGTCTGGCCCTCAATCCACTGTGCCACACCAACCAGGGCTTCCTTTCTTTTTAAGACTGAATAATAGTCCATTGTATGGATATGCTACATTTTGCTTATCCATTCATCCATCATGAACATTTGGGTTGCTTCCACCTTTTGGCAGTTTTGAACATGAGTATGTAAATATCACTTCGAGACCCTGCTTTCAATTCTTTTGGATTTATATCCAGAACTGGGATTTCTGGATCATATGGTAATTAATTTTTAAATTTTTTTTAAGAAACTTGGGGACTTTTAAATTATTTTAATTTCAGAGTGATTTAAGTATACCAGGGAATTGGCCTTATACAAAGGACTGTCCTGGGGGTGAGCAAGGTGTATATCCAGAAAAAGTTTATTGAAGAGAGGCAGCAAAAACAGGAAATTGAGGTGTTCCTTCCAGATGCTCTCTGTTTTCTCTATGAAGCACAAGAGGACAGCTAAGAGCAAGAAGGAATGTTTTAGTCTTTTCTTGAGAAGAATATCTTTTTTTTAAAGATTTTATATATTTATTTTTAGAGAGAGGGGAAGGGAAGGAGAAAGAGAAGGAAAGAAACATCAATGTGTGGTTGTCTCTTATGAACCCCCAACTGGGGACCTGGCCTGCAACCCAGACCTGTGCCCTGACTGGGAATCAAACTGGCAACGCTTTGGTTCAGAGGCTGGCACTCAATCCACTGAGCCATACCAGCCAGGGTGAGAAGAATGTCTTGGCAAGTTCTGTAGAGAAGCTTGGAGAAGAAGGAGAGCCAAGGAGAGAAAGGGATGTTTCCAGGGAACAGCTAAAACTACAGGACATGATTCAAGGGTAGCAGTATATATGTAACCCAGAGGTCTGAATGTAAGATTGGTTATCCACATAGATGTTAACTGTTAGTGAATATGAAGGCCTGACCAGGGGTCAGTAGTCAACAGCAAAATGGAAGGGTAGGCTCAAGATGATGGCCAAATTAGTGCATTGCAAGTGAATATAAATAGAATTCTAAGAAACCCAAGGAAGTGCTTAAGTAATTTGCTGTATCTAATATTTCGAGCAAATTCATCACCCTTAGTTTTTTTTAACTATTAAGATATATAGAATGTGCATGGTTTGTTATGGTTATTTAAAAATATTTAAATAAGGTAACTTCTCACTACTGAAGTACTCAGAGCCTTAAGAACTTGCAGAGACCAGGAATTGGGTCCTCGCCAGATTGAGAAAGCCAAGTGTTTCTGCACCACCAAACAGCAGGATATAAAACTGTCATCCAGGGCCTTTCCCTTTGCCAGGCAATGGAACCAGCCCAGGCAGAGGTATTAGAATGAGTTTTGGCCTTCACATCCATACCTATTATTTCAGATGGACTCATATTAGCTGGCTATGAAAATAATGGATGGAGGAGCGGGCCAAAAGCAAAAGGAAACATATAAAGCAGGTGAGTTAGCTGGTAGACTTTAAGAACTATATGAAGGGAAGACCTTTTGGTGTAGGGTAAGAAAACTGAAGATGGAAGTCCACTGGGATTATTCTGTTTTTGTTTTGTTTTTCTCAAAGGGCACCACTGAGTTGACCTTCAGTGTCCTTCTAAAACAGGTAAAGTGGACACACTATGATGGAGCCAAAGGCATCTCCAGTCTTGATTAAGGTGTTAAGGTATCTGTAATGCCAGGGATAACAGGGGTGTGGAGAGGATAAAAGAAATTGCTGGAGCTAGGGCATCACAGAGTAGAGAAAGTCATCTTGCATGGAAGGAATGCATCTTACATTACTGAATGTAAGTTTGTCAATGGCAAGGCAGTTGGGTGAGTGGTACTGTTTGCAGGCAGTAAAGCCATGTAGATACACCCTAAAAATATGAATCTTATGGTCTTGGTAGCTGTTAGACTATATGATGAAGGCAAACTTGAAGGACCTTGAAACTGCTCTTTAAAAGCTGGGAGGAAATATAGGGCTATGGTCAGAAACCATATGAGTTAGTCTACCATGAAAATATAAAATCTGAATGATAAAAGTGTTTGCTGCAATGCATGTGGTTCATCATACTTATAGGGGTTGACTTGTGTCTTCTCATAAGGCTGTTTCATGTGAAGACAGGATATTAGAGATGACCTCCCAAGTGATCATGTCTACAGGGTGTGTGCTGTGGTCAGGAGGGACAAAAACTGTGACATTCAAATGCCTTCCCAGGTTGGGGCTTGTCACAGAAACATCACCATAACATAGTGTGTTGCAGCCTTTTTAGGCTGCACAGGTCCGCTCAGGGCTCGGGTAGATGGAAGAAGATGCGTGGAGCCTTGGGGATGCTTGACATGTCTTTACTCAGGAGTCACAGAGGCACAAGCCTGGTCCAGGGAAATCACATAGGCCACAAAGCCCGTGTCCATGCCGCACACAAGCCACAAAGCCCATGTCCAAGTCAGTGCCCCGATTCCCCACCCTGTCCAAAGCTCCTACCCCTTAAGTACTAGCCCCAGACAAAGCACACTACAGGCCAGAAAGTGAAGTAACTAGAGTGAGCTGTGCATTGCGAGCCTACTCAAGGCTATGGGGCAGTTTATCACACCTGGCCCAAGGCTGTGGGAACACTGCTTTATCAGACTCCTCCCCGGTTGTGAGGAGCTGCTCCCTCCGGTTATCCACGCATCTGGGTGAGGGAGCCAGACAGTCTCCACATACCCCATATATAGCTTCAAAATACATAACATTAAAATTGAAAGAATTACAAGCAGAAGTGGACAAATCCACTAAAATGGGTGAGACATTTTAACACATCTCTCAGCATTTGACAGTTCAAACAGCCAATGACATAATACAAATTTAGAAGTTTTAAACAACATGTGAAAATTGCTTAATAGAGAAATCTTGAACTCTGGACCCAGATATTACATCATACACATTATTGTAAAGCACCCATGCAACATGTACAATAAATATAACGTGTGACAACTTAATCTTGAAAAAAAGTAACAGTTCGACTTATGCAGACAAGCTAGAGGCCATGTTTAGATGAAGTAAGATATCTTGGAGCTTTGAGGTCACCGAGATATTAAACGTGAATTGAGTAGCAAAATAAGCAGATAGTGTTCAGGGATGTGATTTTTAGCAACTGTTTGGCTATTGGATGAGACAGGAAAGCAACTTGGTTGGCCTTGAAACTTGTGACCAAAATTTGAAAGAAAAAAAAATTGATGCTGTAGTCAGAAATCCTGAGAGAGTATTCCGTGAAAGCAAAATACCTGGTTTACAAAATGTAAAAAGGTAAA